CGCGTCCACAGACTTGACGTGAAGGAAACCGCTTTTGATGGAAGTCGCGCAGGTAATGTTTCCAATAAATTTCGTCTGGAGTCAGCACAGAATTGGAAACAGCTTGTCTCTGCGACTTCTATCTAGCGCCGTGACCGCCAGGTCCAGTGGCACGCCTACTCGGATTTCAAGATATTGACTGTGATAGGATAAGCGGAAAATTTGGTTTCAGTCGGTCCATCTCCATGCATGTTCGTCTGCTGAGAGCGTCTAGCCTCTTCTGTCGTAGCCTCTATCGACTCTTTTTTCAGTTTTGGGGATGGAACTGTATCACCAATCTTTGATTTCTGTCGCTATTGACCCATTTCTTAGGCTCAAAACCGTGTTCTGACTCGTGAGTTCAACCTCACCGGGATCGGTGTACGTTCCGTTTGTCGTGGCTGCTTAATCTGTCTTCCATCGCTAGTCTCTATCCATTGCTTTTTTCGAGGTAAATCTAGCATGAGATATTTGTGGAAAACATTGTGAGCGCACATTTCACACATTTATACTCGATATCGGTGAGTTGGGGTGGGCGTGTCACCGGAAGTGACGTGCACTTGATAGAAACTATGTGGATAAGCTGCTTCCAACATACATCGCTGGATATCAGCAAAGCATGCTGGCAACAGCTTATCCACGCAACTTCTATCAAGTGCACGTCACTTCCGGTGACACACCCACCCCAACTTTCGGATATCGACTGTAGATGGTCTATCTTGAAGTTCAATTCTGTGTCCTTCATATCATTGTGCTCGACTTGAGGCTGTCACAGGATTGTTGACTTGCTCTGCTAAATCACTTCTCAGCTTAACCATTTGCTCAACCGCCCTTCATATCTATTCCTACAATGTCGAGCGAAATGACACAATTTTGATAAACTTCCGTTGGCTGAGTGAAACAGTTGCCTCCACAAGTAAGACCTATTCCAGAGGATGAACCGTTTTCCCCTTGAATGTGACAGAACGCAGGCAACTCATGATTTGGGTTGGGGTTCCCTGAAATGGACATGTTCGGCGAAGCGTTGATGTGCAGTTCTCGTTTTTCTCTTTGCTTTTTCGTCTCATCGATGTTTCTTCTTCACTCCAGTGCTCAGTAATTCTTTGTATAGTGCCCAAAAGCAACTTCGATAACGGAAGGTTAATTTAGAGCCTCCGAGACTTCTTTAGTATTCTCGCATTAGCGGATCCTACATGCTGCAATTGGAACTCCACTACTGACATCCTGCTTTTATGCGACCCTTTCCCTGGAGATCCGACTCGTGTGTGAAACTCTTGAACGGATAGGGATTCATGGCGATTTGTGGGCTGATTGACACCACTTCGCCATCGCCTTTGCCGCAGATTGCTTCAAGGAATTCCTTTACCGTTCCAGGGGGCGACGTGCAGCGAATGGTGTCTTTTCGTTAGCGCTTTTGGAAGCATACGTCTTTTCTCCGTCATCAGATCTTGAAGGCCCTCTGAGATGCAGGGCAGTCTTGTCCTTATTTTTTACCTCGACAAGACTCCCAGGAGGGAATTATGACAGGTTTGGGTAACAGGGCCACTTATTCGCAGTCAGAAATACCAGATGGCAAATAAGGTAGATACATAATTGACTTGCAGAAATGATGTCGAAAGCGATGAAAGACGAAAATTTTGCGTTTTGGGAAGATGAGTCGAATGTCAACGAAATGCCGCAATATTCCCGAAACGTCCATGCTCCTGACGAGAATTGTAGGAAATCTGAACCGAGTTGCTCCAAATCGGTCTGTTTCAGAATTACTACAATCAGATATCTTCTCCCTATACGGGTCGCTTGAAATCATTATCTTAAGGTTGTAAAGCCCGAAGCGATCTGCAAGGATACAAAACCGGAACAGCCTGTAGTTGTGCCAGCACAAAGTGATGACAGTGTTCGGGCCCGCTTGGACGATTCCTTGTCTAAAATGCAGAAGGACAATATGGAGGGCAAATCTAGTTTTGTATGTTTACAGCTATTCACTGAGTGCCATAATTTCAATTACTGTCGGAAGACGTTTCAGGGGCGTTACATGCGGCTCAAGAAGGATAAGCTTCGCTTTCAAGTCAATGTGACTGGCCGACCTGCTAATGCTGCTTCAGAAATATTCAAAGGAATCTCCATCTTTGTTAATGGTTATACAGGTGTGCTTTCTCTAATGAGGAGGAAACTCAGGCATTGAACAAACAAATGAGTTCGGAGAATTCACCAATTAAGCCATGGCGAGCTTGGCGAAGTCGTACCTGGTCACTTTGAAAAAATAAGAAAAGATAAAGCATTGGCCGTTGATTAATCCTTTGATGGGATATGGCACGCCTTCTACTCCCATTTGTACATTCGTAGTGGCTCTGAATGCGGTTTGACCTGAACTGACTTGCAGGGGCCAGCCGACGTACAAGTCAGTGTTTTTATTCTCCCAGACAAGTCTGGCACCGAT